TATTGACCCCATTAATCTTTGGTTATACTTTCCTTTTGGGTGTTTAAGACCCTACAGTTGGCCCAGATAAAACTATTTTTACTCTTAAGGTTGTTTGAGGAGCTGTTGCTCAGGGGTAACATGGGCTTGGGAGGAGCCAGGGGTAACATGGGCTTGGGAGGAGCCCCTGGCTCCTTTCTTTTACCAGTTCCATCTATGTGAAGATAAGTCAAAAGTCCTGCTCGACCATGGCTGACTTCGCTTGGAAGCATGGAGGAAATGATTCCTTTGTGTTGACCCTCCTCTTTGTAGACTGGACACTGGTTCAAATCCATCTCATGGGGTCTCCTTGGCCTCCTTGATCGAGGACAGGTGACTCACCACAGTTACAGGACATTTTGAGAGATGCTCATAGTCCCCTGGAACTTAGTCAACCTAGGGGGGCAAGGAGCAAAAACTGTCCTTTATGTCCCCCTGACCAAATTAGTATAGGCCTCAAAGTATGGCTGTTAAACATCCAAGAAGGTTGGTTCCACCAGTCTGGTACTTTTAATTACCATATGCCATGTAGATAGAGCTTGGGCAAAGACCAAACGCTCTCAGATAAACCTTGCCTAGGCATATATTGCATTCTTTGATCAGGTTGTATGTATAATTTGTCAGTAGGTTTGTTGGCCTAATATGGTTCCCTCTGGTCTTTTTGAGACAGGGTCTCCCTATAGCTCCAGCTGACCTGGAACTCACTTTGTAGACCAGGCTGGCCTTGAACTCACAGAGATCCACCTGCCTCTGCCTCCTGTGTGCTGGGATTAAAAGTGTGCACCAGCACATACGGCTTCTTTATAGATTTATGTGGTAGTGATCCAATTGGTTCCTTGGGAAGTTTATTTAATGAAAACCTATTTTTTCCTAATGAGATTCAGACTGGCATAAATGATTTTTACATTCCAGTGTATATGGTAAAGTAATGAATGAAATCAGTGTGTCTTTTATTTACTTGGAAAACAGCAGTGCAGGGCAGAAGGTGTTGCCTTTGATATTTAAGAGATCTGGTATCTGTGGCTATCAATCTGGCCAGCTCTTTTTTGCCTGGGCCTGGAACTTAACCTTGTTGTCTTTGATGTAGCAGTCATGTTCATAGCACCAAACTTTCCTGAGGACTAGGTGGTCTGCATGTCTAGAGCAAAGCTCAGTAAGATCACACTCTTTCAGAACTAGCTTAGTGGCCTGCAGGGCCTGGGTCTGCCTCCTTCCTAGTAAAGTCTCCTTCATAGCATGGCCCAATCAATTCATGTGATGCTCATTTGTTTTCCTCTCTGTCCTTAGAACTTGTTTTTAATTATTTTTTGTTTATTTTTATTTCATGTATGTATTTTGCCTACATGTATATAAGTGTACCATGTGTTTGCATTGCCCATGGAGGCTGGAAGAAGGCATTGGATCCCCTGGAAATGGAGTCACAGAAGGTTGTTAGCTGCCATGTAGGGGCTGGGAATCAAACCCAGGTCCTCTACAAGAGAAGTCAGTGTTCTTGACTGCTGAACCGCCTCTCCAGTCCCCCCCTTAGAACTTTTTAAATTGAAGCTTATATATGGGGTTTTTTTTTTCATTTTATCATTTTAATGCTATTATGTTTTCTGAACATAAAAGTAACATATAAAAAACTAAATAGAGGAAAAATTAAAGGAAATAAAAGATAGCTTTCCATGCTGTATGTCCGAACCTTCTTGATGCCCATTCTTCTCGTTTATCTTGCCAGATAGGTCCACGTGAGAAGTAGTAGCCTTTGTCTTCCCTCTGAGTCCTTTTCCTCAAGACTTGATTTTTGTTGTTTCCACATCTGTTCTAAATACCATTTCTCAGTTTACTCATGCTAGATTGTCTCTGCTTATTTGCCATTAAAATAGCTGTATTGATTATTGGCTGCTACAAAACAAATTACCTCCAGTGCTGTAGATTGAAATGGCAAATATTTGTAATTTCCTGGTTTCCGTGGATCAGAAGTACAGTTTCGGCTTAGTTGGGTCCTGTGGCTTAGGATTCCTTTACAAGGTAAACAACAAAATATTGCTGGGTTTATGTTCTCATCTGAAAGCTTGACTGAGGGAGTTTTCACTCAGCTTACTCTTATGATTGTTATCAGTATTCACTTTTTCAGGCTGTGACTACAGATTTCTTCAATTCTGTGCAACATGGGCTCTCCATAGGTAGGCATCGTATAACATGGCAGTGAGTGAGCAAGAGGGCAGCCAAGCTGGACATCTGGGTCTCTTCATGACTTAGTTGTAGAAGTGACATCCTGTTGCTTTTATTGGATTCTATCTTTGAAATGTGTTACTGAGCCTAACTCATGCTCAGAGGAGAAAACTGACTGTATATAATAACAGTTATAATAACAGTAGGTGGTGGCGTACACCTTTAATTCCAGCACTTGGGAAGCAGAGGCAGGTGGATCTCTGTGAGTTCAAGGACGGCCTGGTCTACATAGTTCCAAGACAGCTGGGGCTACAGGGAGACCCTGTCTCAAAAAGACTGAAAAAATAATAATAATAATAATATTGTAGGTGGTATGTTGGGACTATCTTGGTACTGTACCCAATACTGAACTGAGGGAGGCCCTCTTGAACCAGGGCCTTCCTCAACCCCCATGCCCCAATCTAAGGGATAGCTACATCCTCCCTTTAACATTTTATATTTACTTGCCCCAAGGTGTAGCCTCTACAAATAGCACACCTTGAAGCCATTTTGTTAGCACTACGTGCCATTTTTGTTACTCTATGTCTGATGGCTCTTTGACTTTGGCTGGTTTTTTAATATCCCAATGTCACTTATGTAGGGCTATTCTTGTTATTGTTACTTTACTTAGAGAAATAGGTTGCCCAAGGCTGTGACACTACAGTATTGTAGCTCTGCTCATTACGCCCTTGCAGTTGAAATGCATTTGTACACATAGAGTGCTTAAAATGATGTCTGGTAGACATCCAGAGTTTGTTTGGCATTGATGCTGGCAGTGGTAACAATTTTTCTCAGTTTAATCTCTTGTCCATCAACATGTGCCATCTAGCTGCTTCTGAAGGAAAGACACATAGGGGAATTTTCCGAGTTCTTTCCTTTTTGAAGCTATACTGAGTTTAGCTTCTCATTTGTTTGTTGTGTAGCTAGGTTTGTAGAATTTCAGATATATTAAATTATTTTCCTCCCAGTTAGTATTCACTATTGCTATTGAGATTCTCCTTCGTAGCCTTTCCTCTGCCCATTGGGTTCTGAAAATTGATCTGATACAGCCAGGTGTGCTGACTTCCCTTACTCATTGTGTGAGCTTAGCAGGTCCTTTCAGTATACAGATGCTTTTTGCGGGGCAGTATTAGAGACTGAATCCAGGGCCTTGAGTATGCTAGGAAGTGCTCTATCACTGAGTTATACACCCAGCCTTTAAAAATACAATTTTTTAGGACCTTACAATCTCTATGTTGCACAGACTGGCCTTGATCTTGTAAGCTTCTTGCCTCTGTTCCCCTGAGTAGTGGCTGGGATTATAGGCATTAATCTCCTGACTTGGAGACTCTTATTTGTGGGATAATTTTGTGTCTTTTTAAGTTGTGATATAAAATAATTGGTTTCATTATAACATTTTCATACATAGATTTTTTTTTTACTTTGCTTATATTTACCCCCCCCACTCTTTCCTCCTTCCTCTGATTCCCCTCCTCTCCTCAAATAGTCCCTCATGATACATGCTTTTCTTTTATTTCTTTTTATTAGACAGATGTTGAACCTCGTTAGTTGATCTTTTGAGCCCCTTATTCTCTTTACTGTTTTATTTTTAATTTTTTAATTTATTATTATGTGTATACGTGTATTGCATGCATGTATGTAAGTGCACCCAGTGTGTGCAGTGCATCAGAAGAGGGCATCGAATCCCCTGGAACTCGGGTTAGGATGGTTGCTAGCTGCCATGTGGGTGCTGGGAACTGAACCCAGGTCCTCTGCAAGAACAGTCAATGCTCTTAACCACTGAGCCATCTCTCCAGCCTTCTACCCTGTTTTCTATCTTGTCTCTGTTTTGTGTTCTGGATAGTATTCTTATCACAACATATCCACTGGAATTATCATTTTATTTCTCTGAGGAGGTTAATGCTTTGCGGTCTTAAGTATATGTATGTTCTGAGCTTTATTTTTTCTGGGTCTCTTTTATGCTGGAAGCTATCTTTTTTTCAGACAGCTGAGGCTGGCTGGCTGTACCTCAACAGGGCTCTTAAAAGTAGGCCAGAAGCTCTGTGTTTGGGTTAGAGTTGGGTGATAACTGAATAGCAAGCCAACCTTTTTGGGAGATACCCAGATGTCTGGACCTGGGGGTTGAGTCTATAGAAAGGCCTTGTTATTCTTCCTTGGTGCAACTACTAATGCTGTCAGGTTACTGCCAGAGGTGACCAGTAACCCCTACAGCTTACTTGTGACGTCCTCTGCATCTAAGCCAATGATTGATCCTGTCCCCTCAGTGCTGTTTAGAAATGTGTCAGAGTTCTTTGTCTGCTGCCAGCTTTCTTTCCCTCTTTCTACCATTGTGTTTAACTTTTTAAAAAATAACTTTTAAAGTTCATTGTTAAGATTACAGTAATATGGTCAAACATAAATGTAGCTGTGGAGGCTTCCATATCTATTGATCAGCAGTTTCTTATACTAATCCATGGTCTTAGGTAGGGGAGACTGGCCCACCTGTGTCCTTGGAGGCACAGTCAGTATGTGATGAATGGAATACTTTGGCTATTCTTGGTATGAGGCAGACTCTTCCCTGTTGTATCTATTTTGTTCCCTCATACATTCATCTTGAAGTGTTTGGTGCTGTTGCAGGTGGCCCATGGCACCCTTAATGATGGTGCTCTTGATGCTGTGGAGACACGGAAGGACCTTTTGGGAGCCAGTGGGCTCATGTTGCTGCTTCCTCCCAAAATGAAGAGTGAGGCTGTGGCAGAGGAAGATTTGTACTGGCTGTCAGGTTCGCTGCAACTCAAGCAGCTACTTCAGGCCAAGCCCTTCCAGCCTGCACTTCCACTGGTGGTTCTTGTGCCCAGCTCCAGCGGGGAAGCCATTGGGAAAGAAGCAGAGGATGGTATGTAAAGGCAGACTCATTTATGATTTAGCATTTTCAATAAATGGGTGGAACTTGGGTCTGATGAATGGCTGGCAGTACAGTGTTGGGAACCTTTAGGAACTAGAGCCCCAGTATTTTGTCTACTCCATGGTGGGCCAAGACCAGCACTGTCAAGTGTCAAATGTGCAAATGAATGTAATCACATGGGACCGTCCTCTTTTCTCTTAAAGGTCTGATGTTACAGGATTTGGTTTCAGCTAAACTGATTTCAAATTTCATTGTTATTGAGATCCCTGATTCTATTAATGATTTACAAGGCACAATGAAGGTAAAGTTTCATCTATTATTTTTTTATTTTATTATTTTTATTTTATGTGTATGAGTGTATTGCCTGCATGTAAGTGAGTGCACCCGTGTTGTGCAGTGCTGCGGAGGTCAGAAGAGGGCTTCGGATTCCCCTGGAACTGGAGTTAAGGACGGTTTGCAGCTGCCATGTGGGTGCTGGGAATCGAACCTGGGTCCTCTGCAAGAGCTCTTAACTGCTGAGCCATCTCTCCAGCCCCTATTTATATATTTTTTAAAGACAGGATCTTCCTGTAGCCCCAGCTGGCCTGGAATTTCCTATGTAAGGCTGGCCTTGATCTCACAGAAATCAACCTGCCTCAGCCTCCTGAGTGTTAGTATTAAAGGTGTGTACCATTATTCCCAGCAAGTGTCATCATTTTTAAAGGTCTATCAAGATACATTTTCCCCCTTCTGATCTATTTTGAAATATATATGTGTGTGTGTGTGTGTATCATCCTGCCTCCTCCTCTCATATATTGGGATTATAGGCATGTACCATCATGTCCAACTTCTATTAGTGATTTCAATTTTTTAAATATTTTATTTTGTATGTATGAGTGTATTGCCTGTATGTAAGTGCACCTGTGTCACGCAATGCCCATGCAAGTTGGAAGAGGTTGTCTGATCCCCATGGAACTGGTGTTTCGGATGGTTGTTAGCCACCATGTGGGTGCTGGGAACCAAACCCAGGTCTTCTGTGAGAGCAGTCAGTTCTCTTAACCTCTAAGCCATATCTCCAGCCCGATTTCAATTTTTATCTTGTTTTATACAGATAATTTTGTAAAGATATAAGCAGAAATCCAAATCAAATTTTAAAATGCCCTAAGTTCTGCTATCAGCATCGTATTAAATTATTCATGTAAATTTTTGGGTTTTTTTGTTTGTTTGTTTGTTTGGTCTTTTTGAGACAGGGTCTCCCTGTAGCCCCAGCTGTCCTGGAATTCACTATTTAGGTAAAGAAGTATTGGGGATTAATAAAATAACTACAGGGTCTGGGATATAGTTCAGTGGTACCAGCACCTACTTAACATATAAAAAGTCCTGGCTTCTATCTCCATCACTGTATGAAAAAGCAGACGCTCCAGAAAAGATAACTGCAAGGTATGAGACATCCTGACACTCAGTGAAGCTACTAGTTCTAGGAACAAGGTGGCTCTGCTTCAGTGGGTGGTAAGGAAGATGTGAAGACTGGCTTCCTGAGGGTCCTAGGTCTCTCCAGAGGGAAGATGGTGGGCTCTATAGGACTCTCTCTGGTACCCCTCTCAGGTGTACTCCAGGGCTTCAGGAACCAAAGCTCAAGCATGGAAAGGGGCCTGTATTCCCTTCCTGCAGTAGCTACGAGTCTTTGGTCATGGCACTTGCCATAGGCAGCCATAGGAAGAATAGAATACCAAGCCCTCTTAGAAAACTGCTTTTTAAAATTAGTGTGAACTATTTAACTGTATCTCTTCTAACTGTCTTTGCTCCTCAGGTTTCTGGAGCAGTCAAATGGCTAATTTCCCGATGCCCCCAAGTCCTAGACCTTTGCTGTCAGACCCTTATTCAATATGTTGAGGATGGGATTGGCCGTGAGTTTAGTGACCAGTTTTTTCATGACAGAAGAGAGAGGCGCCTGGGTGGCCTGGTCTCCCAGGAGCCCAGCACCATTATTGAGCTCTTTAATAGTGTACTACAGTTCCTGGCCTCTGTGGTGTCCTCTGAGCAGCTGTGTGATCTGTCTTGGCCTGTCACTGAGTTTGCTCAGGCAGGGGGCAGCCAGCTGCTTCCTCACCTACACTGGAACTCACCAGAGCATCTGGCTTGGCTGAAGCAGGCTGTGCTTGGGTTCCAGCTTCCACAGATGGACCTTCCGCCACCAGGGGGTATGTACCCATGCTGAGGGAGGAGTAGAGGGTTGGCCATAGGAACCCTTATTCTAGTGGTAGTATACCATGTGGTTGGGTTCCAGTATGAGGTCCACAGTCTGCTTCAGTTATGTACCCACCTATACCAACCTTTGGATTCAGGAGTCAGAAGGAACCAGAAGTCTTAATGCAGTGAGAACTGCTGACCTTTCTTCAGAGCCTGTACTGCCTGCCTCACAAGTCCCATTTACCAGAAGAGATGGGCTGGGCAAAGAGCATAAAGCTCATGCAGCCGTATCACCGACCTGCTGACCTTGCTGGGGCCACAGCACTTAAATGCTATCTTACACTAATTTACCTTTGAAGTCTGACTACCTGCTGTGCTTGTGCGAGACCTATGGGCTGTTTGATGTAGACTCCACAGGTTATCCAAGCTGCAGGGGCTGTTCTTTCCCATGTTTAATGCCGCTGGGATAGAATGAGCCCGTTTACTGCTTTCCTAGCAGAACTTTACAGGCATGCATGCATATTCCCTACATTTCTCAACTATATAGTAGCCCTCTACTAAGGAAATGCAGAGCATTAAGAATATTTCATACACATTGTCAGTGGCTCTTGTTAAAACCTGTAACTAATGAAGCACTTTCTCTGCAGCACCCTGGCTTCCCATGTACTCCATGGTCATTCAGTATGCCTCTCAGATCCCCAGCTCATGCCATACCCAGCTGGTTCTCCAATCCCAGATAGAGAACCTATTGTACAGAACATACCAAAAGTGGAAGAGCAGGAGCTTCTCTCCATGTCAGGGGGCAGGGCCTTCAGTTGCTGAGATCCCATGGGATGACATCATCACTTTGTGCATTAATCACAAGCTGAGAGATTGGACACCCCCCAAGCTCCCCATCACAGCAGGTAATTGCCCTGGTCTCACAAGACTTTCCTGGTGTATAGTTCTATAATTAAAAAAAATATTTATTTA